ACCCTGTGCTGAGTAGCCTACACATACAGGAGAGCCTTTGTTCCCAAACAGCCTACACAATCCTAATCCATTAGTCCCACCAACCCCCACTCCTTAGCTGCCCATTCATGCTGATCTATAGGAAAGACGAGAGTGTGACTTCAACCCTTCAGTCCCCAGGACATAGTTTCCTCTCACAGGGACCAATTACAACTGCTCCTTGTACCTTTCCACGCCACTGCTCCACAGTTTTCCCAATCCAGTAACTACGATCTAGGAACTAAGATAAACCAGTCCTTGAAAACCAAGTCATATATTAATTTAATAATGTGAACTCAACAATATTTCTTCAGATTTGAAGCCACTTAAGTTCATTATAACCCCATAACAGAATGTTTTCTACTGAACTACGCTGGAACATCTCCAGAGCTGACGTTATGTCTCCTTTAATGATTTTTGCTTTTATTTATTTATTTATTTTTATTTATTTATTTAGCTGAAGGGTACAATACATATAATGTAGACAGATAAATCATAGATTGAACAAACATGAGCATGAGATAGACAAACTAAACTGTCCAGGAACTTTAAAAGAGGACTCCATATTTTTTTCAAAGGCAGTCATTTTATTTCTAAGCAAGGCAGTCATTTTCTCAAGTGTTAAAGTGTCTATTAATAGGTTGAGCCAATGGGTAATAGATATTTTAGTTCTATCCTTCCAGTTTAATAGTATAACTTTTTTTGCTAGTATGGATGAGGTAAAGATAAATGTTTTTGTTTCTTGTGAAGAGTTAATGGAAGAAAAATTTCCCAACAGAAACATTAAGGGTGATAGCGTAAGATTAATATCTAGTATAGTTTACATTTAACTTCTGACCAGAAATTCAGAAATTCCTAACTATTTTGGCAGTATGTACATGTTAATATTGACAAAGCCCATGAGAGACCATTTATTTTTTGTGGTATGTACTCAATATAGTATTTTGTATTGTATCAACTGTATTCTGGTATTTCTTGAAAAGACAAAAATATTTTTGCAAAGTTTAAGGGGTCTAAGTCTGTATATTCACAGTGAAGATCATTATTCCATTTGTTTATAGACAAAGAACTTATGGGTTCATTGGAGGCTAAGATATTATAATTTGTATTGTATCAACTGTATTCTGGTATTTCTTGAAAAGACAAAAATATCTTTGCAAAGTTTTAAGGGGTCTCAGTCTGTATATTCACAGTGAAGATCATTATTCCATTTGTTTATAGACAAAGAACTTATGGGTTCATTGGAGGCTAAGATATTATACATTTGTGATAATTAGATTCGAGGTAAAGAAGAGTTCATGATTATGGTTCACAAAAGTATTAATATTAAGTTTACTTTTAATAGCTTCCTTTAATTTTTTTGTATTGGTAGCGTGTATTTTCTGGAATATTATTATTATATATATTTTTTGTAATTACTCAAATGTCATAAATATATCATTTTTGCTTTAATGTTGAACATTCATAAAGTCTTGTGTAAATCCCTGACATGGGATTATGTGACACAATTTCACCTGCTGTTTTTGGCATATTTTCAATTGTATTTATGTATTTATTTATTTATTTTACACAGAAGTTCTCTTACTAAGACCATTTCAGTTAATTTGTTTCTGTATTAAAATGATTACATAATCACTACCCCTAATCACTTGTACTCAGACAATAGTAATATTTTATAGAGATTAAAATACATATGAAACAATATAGAATATAACTCCACACAACTCCACAATTTTAAGAAACGGTATTTTAGTAAACAGCATTTTAAGTATGCTAAATAATTCTTTGTTACATAAACCTTTGTTTTTGCATTTCTGTGGCCTATTGCTTCTTCCAAATATCAGTTTTTATTTATATGATCTTTTGTCATTTATGAGCTTGTAGATAGACAGACAAACATTATCATTAACTTAATGTAGAGAACATCTGATTATTTCGACATTACAGAAAATACCATGACATGAATGGTGACATATTCAGACCTGTGATAAAGACCTATTATATCCACACGGGTAATTTGCGAGCAATAAATCCATGGAGATGGAGGTTTTTTATCACTTCACCCTCATAAAATGGTGCGTCGGTGTAATTTCAGTATACAGATCTAGTGGGTTGTTATAGTAATCCTGTTTGTAATATATAGGATATCCGACATGAAAGATGGTATAAAACAGACTGATAAGTGGACAGTGAAAGATATCCAGCCATTCTGAACAGGTCAGTACTGTATTTTTGTCTAAAACAATATACATGTTTACAGTATATCTGCAATTTACTTGAATACATTCATTTTGTTAGAATTGTAAGACTTGTATTAATCCATTATGTTTTATTATTTTGTTTTATTTAAGTTTTTACAGTTATCTTCCTCCACTGTTCAAAACCTCATTCAGTTTGAATAACACAATTTTTCTAAAAAAAAACAAAAAATTCTTTTTTTTTTTTTTTTTTTAGAAGATTGATTATTCCAGTCGCTCTCTGAGTTGATGTTTGGTGATTCATATCTGAGCCATGTATAGAAACACCCTTATCGTTCTGATCCTGCTGCGTTTAGGTATGGCTTGTCATTTTTGTATAGATTTTGTGAATTGTAAGTGTATTCATTATTGAGACACTAAATTGAGCAACACAGTCAGCTGATTGTATGTACTATATACAGTAGAACTCTTGGTTGTTCCTTGTTTTTTTCAGTGGTCTTCAGTACAAACACTAGTACTACTGATGAGCAGTCGACTGAAACAATGGTAAAGACGTCTATGAGCACTGAGTCTGACTCTGACTCTACACACACAAGCCTGTCTTCTTCATCCACATCCATGGACACCCTGGCCACTTCACCGGATCAGCCCAACAGCTCTGTCAGTGAACCTTCTGAAGAACCGCAAGGTTTAACATCAGGCCAGATCGCAGGTATAGCTGTAGGATCCATCGCTGGGGTGGCAGCTCTGGGTACGTGGTTAATGAATGCTTGCATTTAACACTTTCTAATTTATTTATGCACTATGTCTGTGTACGATTTTAAATCCATTCTCCTAAATGCAACAATAGATTTGGGACTTAAAATGAGAGACTGTCCTTTTGAAATCCATTAAAGAACATGAATCATACCTATATTGAGAGAGTTAATATTCATGCTCTGTATGCATGTGTGATGTGTTCTTATCTAAAATTTCATGAATACCGTCAGAAATCCCAGTTGTTCATTACTTTATTCAAATTTTGAGTGAGATTTGAGACTAAAGCAATTTTTATATATGCAAAAATATACTGCATATGAGTAGAGCTGTACTTCAAGATGTCTGTTATACATACATATGGCTTTAAAAACAGTTTGAGTTAATAATATCCCACACTAATTATCTTGAATTTCTTATCTACAGTTTATTTATTGATTAAAATTCTGAGTGAGTTTGGATCAATCACTGTACTAAACAGCAGCAAAAAACTGCTACTTTAGGTACAAACGTTTTTTTCAAACTTTTTAAACCAGAATAAAGTCCTCTTTATTAATTCTAAACATTATAAACAGAACCGTTGTTTGAAAATGTTTCAGTAAAACTGTATTGCTGAACTACCAAACAAAGTCATATAGGGAACCAGTAACTTTACCTTCTGTTTGGTTTGGTTTGCCTCATGGTTACCGTTTGGGAGGGGAAAACAAATAGTTTAATATTTCAGGGCTAATGTACACAAACATGACATATAATTTAGTACTTTATATTATGTAATGCCAATATTATGTAATAGCAAATATATAGCAGATGGCAAGCTGATATGCCAGATCTATTAATAACTACAAACTAATAAAATACCTGTAATCAAACTACTTATTGCATTGTCAACATTTAAATGATAAAAATTCGAACTGTAAACATAATCATATTTCTTGCTCTGTCTAGGTGGAGGGATATATGCTGGACTGAAGTACACTGGCAAACTGGGTGGCTAATTTGACTCTATAGCTGAACCCACTGTTTTTCATCATACCATAATCATATGATTTTTTTTGCAACATTTGCTTTTTTATGTAGCTCTGTGTCAACTGACAAAATGGTACAAAAATCATAATAATATAGCTCTGCCATGAACATGTTGATGGACAATGGGAGTTTTTCTCAGAGGTAACTCTCTTTTCTGAGCCATTTTTGACATGAGTGAAGTCATTTCTGCTCTAGTTCACAGGTGTATATCCTCATATTAACTATGAACAAGATCCACTAATGTTTGACATCCGCAAAGGGTCACAATACTTCTTTTCAACAGTTTTTTTTCATTTCGAGTCGTTGTGATTTTGTTTTATATTTCTGCTATTTAAAAAAAAACAACACCTTGTCTTCACTTTGAACTACTGTATTTCTCATTAATAATAATCTACATATTGTCTCTGTTTTTGCAAAGTTATTATTTTATGACATGGCCATGAGCAGCGATGAGTTGGCATGAATGTCCTGTGGTGTACATTTATGATATGCCTGTATTTTCTTTATGTAAACAGAAGTGATACTATGTGCTGGGAAACCACAAAGCACTGGTTGTTATATGTGTGTTTGTGTATGTAACCACATAATTTAGGAGTTAATCTTAGAACGAACTGATAGCACACTCAGCACACAGAAGGCAGAAAGATACAGTCACACAGCAGGTGAAAGAGCTCTCTATCTCTCTCGCCATCCAAACAGAACAGCACATCAAATATTTATCCCTCCCTCCAGTAACTGCTTTATAAACACTATCCAGTTTAATCCCACATGCTGTGCATCTCTGAATGAACAGGAAGATACAGACAGAGGTAGTCCTCAATTGGCTAAACAAGTGTATCAATGTGGGGAAAAAGTGGAAAAAATTAATAAAAATTGAGAAGGAAAAAAAAAAGGAAAGAAAGAAAACCCTCTCCAGGAACACAATGTGAGGGTTAACCAAGTAACCAACTATGTATGAAGTTTTCTTCAAGTTTATACAGGTGTCAGAGTAATCAGGTGTAGATAATCACATTAAGTATGAACCTGATTCACCAAGATTTGGCAACCAGAAATTTGTATATGTAGGCTACTATTTTATCATTTTCTTTTAAATGTTTGTATATGACTCTATGGCATAATTAAGGGTATAATTAATCAACACCGCCCTGTATGATATTTGCTCTAGTCAATGTTACAAGACCTCTCTGATTGATGTGTAAACGTTAGTCTGGACTGACGGTGTCAAGATCAGAGATTAAAGAGTATGTTTTAAGTGTACGGGTTAAGGAAAGGGCAGTTGGGTAAGAGCAGTTTGTTACTACCGCTGAAAGCAGGCTTGAGTTACTAGTGGCACAGTCAGCCAGTGGAAGTGAGATAATTCTCTCCTTCTTCTCACAAACTGAGTTCTTCTCAAACAGATCATCTGTCTTAGCCTGGAAACCTAATATGCAAAGGCACTAAGAGTACACACACACACACACACACACACACACACACACACACAAAGGTACTGTCTAAGGACATTACATTTTAAGTTTGTGACTGAGAAACATATACCTGCATGTACAATGTATATACAGGGATTTGAGGTCCTCCTTTATGTATAGGTATATTCCAATAAAGATTTAGCCTATTAATTGCTTCAACTGAGAGCTTCTCTGACTGCTTCATGACTCTCTCTCTCTCTCTCTCTCTCTCTCTCTCTCATATTTATCCCTCCCTCCAGTAACTGCTTTATAAACACTATCCAGTTTAATCCCACATGCTGTGCATCTCTGAATGAACAGGAAGATACAGACAGAGGTAGTCCTCAATTGGCTAAACAAGTGTATCAATGTGGGGAAAAAGTGGAAAAAATTAATAAAAATTGAGAAGGAAAAAAAAAAGGAAAGAAAGAAAACCCTCTCCAGGAACACAATGTGAGGGTTAACCAAGTAACCAACTATGTATGAAGTTTTCTTCAAGTTTATACAGGTGTCAGAGTAATCAGGTGTAGATAATCACATTAAGTATGAACCTGATTCACCAAGATTTGGCAACCAGAAATTTGTATATGTAGGCTACTATTTTATCATTTTCTTTTAAATGTTTGTATATGACTCTATGGCATAATTAAGGGTATAATTAATCAACACCGCCCTGTATGATATTTGCTCTAGTCAATGTTACAAGACCTCTCTGATTGATGTGTAAACGTTAGTCTGGACTGACGGTGTCAAGATCAGAGATTAGAAGTGTATGTTTTAAGTGTACGGGTTAAGGAAAGGGCAGTTGGGTAAGAGCAGTTTGTTACTACCGCTGAAAGCAGGCTTGAGTTACTAGTGGCACAGTCAGCCAGTGGAAGTGAGATAATTCTCTCCTTCTTCTCACAAACTGAGTTCTTCTCAAACAGATCATCTGTCTTAGCCTGGAAACCTAATATGCAAAGGCACTAAGAGTACACACACACACACACACACACACACACACACACACACAAAGGTACTGTCTAAGGACATTACATTTTAAGTTTGTGACTGAGAAACATATACCTGCATGTACAATGTATATACAGGGATTTGAGGTCCTCCTTTATGTATAGGTATATTCCAATAAAGATTTAGCCTATTAATTGCTTCAACTGAGAGCTTCTCTGACTGCTTCATGACTCTCTCTCTCTCTCTCTCTCTCTCTCTCTCTCTCACACACACACACACACACACAGGTTTGTTTTTATGGTTTATGGGGACTCTCCATAGGCGTAATGGTTTTATACTGTACAGACTGTATATTCTATTGCCCTACACCAACCCTACCCCTAAACCTACCGCTCACAGGAAACTTTCTGCATTTTTAGATTTTCAAAAAAACTAATTCTGAATTATTTATAAGCCTTTTGAATTACGGGGACACTGAAAATGTCCTCATAAATCACCTTCTCGTTGTAATACCTATGTCATACCCATGTTATTATACAAATTTGTGTCCTCATAAACCACATAAACATGCACACACATACACACACTAATGACCTGTGGCACTAATAAGCTCAGTGCCACAATAAGTAAGATGTGAGTTTCTCCACTTACAGGTCATTGTGAGGAGGGTGGTGACCAGGAGTATTAGTGTGTGTAAGTGAAGAAGAAAGGACTAATGTCACCCTCTAGTGACCGTACACTGGTAGAGCATGGAAATGAGCTATGCCAAATTTATTTGACTTTATTTAGCCATTTAATATACATATAATAATAAAAATAATCATAATAATAAATAAAAACTCTAATTTATTATTGTGATGTTACAGCTAAATTTTCATTCAGCTCATTCTACAGTCATTACTCCTGTCTTTGGTGTCACATGATCATTCAGAAATCATTCTAATATGCTGATTTGGTGCTCAAGAAACAGTTGTGCTGTTTAATAAAAACAAGTTAATAATAAAAATATTTTTGTTGAATCTTTGAGAAGTTTTAAATAGAAAGAACAGCATCTGTGTGAAAGAAATAGGTGTACAGGACAGGTGTATATATATATATATGGAAAGTATTCCATACTTTCCGTACCCACTGTATATATATATATATATAGAGAGAGAGAGAGAGTTCATAATCACTACATACATACACTGTAATGTAGTAATGCATACAATTTACAATTACTTCTGTAGACATTTGCTTTTATTCATATTCACTTCTTTTAAAAAGCAAAGATCTCTTGATATGTGGTACACTACAGTCACATTTCAGACCCAAAATAATGACCACTCACTTAAAATCTCTCTGTAGAAAAAACATTGCCTGGTTCAAGCACAACGATAAACTACATTCACAACATTCACATCATAAATAGAGATATAATACATAAAGGCGCGCACACACACACACACATACATAACCCTCCTGGTGGCTTCTTATTTGATAATGACTCATCCCCAAATTAAACTGAATATTGTAGTCCCTGACAGAATGAGAAAAACACAAGGCCTCTTTCAAATATATTGCCCCTGGAGGAAAATATTAATTCCACAAACACCTAAAGAGGGAATACTTTATATTCTCCTGGAGATGGACCCTTTTCACATTTCAGAAGCCATAGTTTGGTATGCTCTGAATAGAAAATGCAACAAGTATATTTTTTATTTTCCAATTTGCTCCAACTGCAAAGAAATAATCCATGATAGCACTTCTATGACTTTCCAAAAGAGAAAAAAAAGAGATTATGTTGGTCAGAAAAGAGAAAGATGTTTGTTGTCACTCGCTCAGCCGCTATATTAGAATCATCCTCTTTGCTAGATTCATGATGTAAAAAAAATTAAATGGTGGAAACCTATCATTCCGGTATGTGAAAAAGGTCCATAGTTTTTCTTTTGGGTTTTACAACTTCCAGCCACCAGGGGGCAGTCATACAATCTTCTCTGTAATGGTGAGGGGTTTTTGGAAGCGGCACAGTCATGCATTAGCATTAAACCAAGCCCTTCCCATGTGCATATTCTGTTGAAAATCAGCAAATCAAGCAAAGCGGAGACTTATCTTGAAGGAGCATATCTGTTCGAAATAGTAAACAATCCACTGAGCAATCCAAGCATCATTTACACAGTTGACCTACATGGTCCCTCAGCAAGATGACCTCTTATTTAAATTAGTAGCAATTAGCTTGAAATTAAGTAAAACATTGAACTCATGTTAATAAATTAAATAAGGGATGGGGATTGTTTGAGTCGCGGTGACTGTCTGTAGAGCCGGACGGCTCCAGTTACACAGTGCATAGAGTCCTACAGTATCAGTCTGGAGACTGACTCGTACACACACAAATACACACGCACACAGTCCTGCTCATTCAAGAGAGGTAGTAGTTCATGTTCCTCTGTCTTTGTCCGTTTCAGTTTGTTAAATCCCATCCCCGGTGCAGCAGCCTCTTTCAAAGGGGGAGTGATGGATGGAGGAGCCCTTACTGTGAAGCTCAATCTGGGCTTGGGTTAAACTTTCATCCCAGGCTTCATTCCACTTCATAGACCACGGCCATAATTCAGTTCCAGTATGTGTTTGGCCTTGGTTAAAAGGTCTGGGATAAAGTCCCATGGTCCTGCAAGCACGTAGACCCTGACTATGATTTAGTTCAACAACAGCAAAAGGGATTATTTGATCCAAGGCTTGTCCGTTTCAGGCGTAATCACAAGCGTGAAGAGGTCGCAGATTCGTAGAACAGCACATATGCATCGCTGCTGCGCACCTGGCTGGACGACATGGGGCTCACCCTGAAATACAGACAGAAATGAGACGTAAGCTAAACAACGGCTCAGCGTCAGCATCTACAAACACGTACATTTAACACGTAAGGAAAAATAGCACAGACTACTAAACAAAATGTACACTACTGTTCAGTAAGATTTTTTGTTTAAGAAACTAACACTATTAATACATCTTATTCAGCAAGGATGCATTAAATTAATTAGTGACAGTAAAGAAACTTGTGTATTTCAATTGATATACTTTTATATAAATGTATATATTTCAAATAAATACTGTACTTTGAACTTTCTACCCATCAAAGAATTTTGACAAATGTATTATCGTATTCCACATAAATATTAAGCAGCACAACTGTTTTCAACATGAAATAAGAAATGTTTCTTCAGCTCCAAAGCAGCATATTAGAATGATTTCTGAAGGCTCATGTGACACTAAAGACTGGAGAAATGGATGCTGAAAATTCAGCATTGCATCACAAGAATAAATTACATTTTAAAATATACTAAAATTGAAAAAGTTATTTTAAATTGTAATAATATTTCACTACAGTATTTTTTACTGTAATTGTAATCAAATAAATGTTAATAACAAAATATATGTTAAAAATGCAACTTATTAAAGCGATAAATTTATATATATATATATATATATATATATATATATATGAAGAGTTCAGATGTTAGAAGAAAATTTCAACAAAACAGAGGCTTTTGCATCAGATATATATATATATATATATATATGAGCATTATCACTCGAGTACGAGAGCGATACCAGCTCTATATAGTTCGACAGAACATGTGTGTAATTATGAGACAGGGGTTATTATGGGTAATTATGAGACCTAATGGTTAGAGAGTTGGACTCGTAACCCAGAGGTTGCGGGTTCGAGTCTCGTACCGGCAGGGATTGTAGGTGGGGGGAGTGAATGTACAGCGCTCTCTCCCACCTTCAATACCACGACTGAGGCACTGCTCCCCGGACGCCGCAGCATAAATGGCTGCCCACTGCTCCGGGTGTGTGTTCACGGTGTGTGTGTGTGTGTGTGTGTGTGTGCACTTTGGATGGGATAAATGCAGAGCTCTAATTCCACGTAAGTGTCACCATACTTGGCCACATGTCACGTCACTTTCACTTTCACTTAATTAAACAAAAAACAACGGAGTGCCTAATAAAATCCTCTTTTGTGCGGAACTATTTCCTTCCGCCACGGATTCAAAGCTCAAGTTGACAGTTAAACATACGTCACTTTTAGAATTCGTATCAAGGGCATGTGCTGCTTCAGTTAGGTTATTAGTGAGAAATAATGAGGTTATAAGAGAGAAACAATGCGGAGAGAAGTTTCTTCTAGACGTTTCTTCTTATATTAACTAACGTACTCTACGATTAGCTCAGTGAATCATTTAAAAAAAAAAACATAGACCGGCTAGAACAAGCGGAGTAATACAAAATAGTGAAAGGGCGTTCCTGTAGCGATACCAGTACAATATCTCACGGTTCTCAACCAATCAGATTTGAGAACCAGAATGAACTGTTGTATATGTCTATAGTGCAATGTAAAATCTCAGCGTTGTTGTCTAGAAATTATGCTAATAATTCCAACTCAGATTTTTGATGGATATGCTGTGTGAGATGCCTTTGTAAAATGCACCAAGTTGCTACTATGCTTTGCAACCATAAATACAGTTGTGCTCATATGTTTACATACACCTTGCAGAATATGCCAAATAAGAGAGATCACGAAAATTGCATGTTATTCTTTATCTAGTACTGCCCTGAATAAGCTATTTCACATAACATATGTTTATATATACTCCACAATACAAGATAATACCTGACTTTTTAAAAAAAATACATAGTTCATAGTTCATATTCATAGTGAATATTAATACTGTGTGCCGTTTCCTGGATGATCCACGACTTTTTTGAGTGCTTTGTGATAGTTGTTCTATCATGAGTCCCTTGTTGGTCCTGAACAGTTCAACTGCCAGCTGTCCTTCAGAAAAATCCTTCAGATCCTGCACATTCATTGGTTTTTCAGCATCTGCTGCATTTTTGAGCCCTTTCCAACAGTCACTGTATGATTTTGAGATCCATCTTTTCACACTGAGGACAATTGAGGGACTCATACACAACAATTACAAAAGGTGAAAACATTTACTGATGCTCAAGACAGCACAATTCATTAAAGGGATAGTACACCCAAAAATGAAAATTCTGTCATTAATTACTCAGCCTCATGTCGTTCCAAACCCGTAAAACCTTTGTTCATCTTCGGAACACAACTTAAGATATTTTTTTATGAATTCTAAGAGCTTTCTGACACTGCATAGACAGCAACGCAACTACCATGTTCAAGGCCTAGAAGATATCCTGTCTGCCTTGTCCTGTCCAGCCTTGCCAAGCCTGGTTGCCAGCCTGTTTTCCTCTACGGAGTAGTTTTGTTTCGTTTTGTTTTATTTTTGCCAATAAAAGCCCATTCTCCTGCATCAGTGAGTCCTCGCCTCATCCCTTCATCCCCATCCCTGACAGCAACAACACTTTTTTTCTGTACACTTTAGCATACTTAAAAATAATAACTTATTTATGAAAATAAGGTACTTTAAAATAATATACTTAAATGCAAATTGAATGTTTTCAGACACTTACTTGCATGTTATTATAAATGATAATGCATTATAGTTTAAATATTAAATGCTGTTAGATGAACCAAATAGTGCCACTTAAAGACTTAAGTATAAAGTCACATCTTGAAACTTCTTTGTTATGTATTTAAATATATTGGTAATTACACATGTGTAATGATGAAGTTGTATATTTGGTATTTAAATTTAGTAGTAAATATATATTAACTTTAAATATAATAATTAATCATCTATTAATTTACATGTGCTTTATTATGTTAGTATTTTTTATCACAAACTACTTAAAAATAAAACTTGACATTATTACAAAGTAAACTTTAAAAAACAGCCTTGAATCTCATTAATATTGCATCATATGCAAGTACAGTTTTTTTATATATTTTTAACATTTGAAGTACACTATACATGCACATTTAATGCAAATAAACATAATTATTTTTCACAATGGAAAGTCTTTTATTCAAATTAAAAACCTTAACTCACTTTCAGCATCATACTGTTTGGTGTTTAAGACTAGCAGAGGTTCACAAAATGGCAATTATATAACACATATAACATTTACATGTAAAATGAATAGATGCCACATACATTTCTGTTGCACTGCAAT